GTAATAGGGGGTGAGCTAATTGCCATATACCGGGCACAATTTCAGACTCCGTGCTACTACTGAGATTTTTTTTAAAACCCAGTAATACTTTCCCCGACCCGGGAATCGAACCCAAGCCCTCGTGTCTGGCAGTCGCACTTGCGACTACCATGGTCAACGAGGCAATCGAGATTTTGAAAAACAACCAAACATTTTAGTCATATTTTCGACTTTTTAACTCAAATAGAAATCCGAAATAGTAAAAGCGAAACTCCGAAATGATATTTAACTTTTAACTGCACAATAAATCTAAATTAATTGTAACGCAGTAAACAATAAAGTTTGAGATTATTACTCAAATAAAAGAATAAACTCACTAACTGACTGAATAATAAAATTCTTTGCCAACTTTATATTACTCTGCACTATTCATAAAAAATACATTTATACTATGTATTTTATTGCTTGCGACGATCTCTAAATGTAGTGTATATTATACTTAGTTACTAGACTTTGTGACTCTGGCTACCTTAAATTGTAAAGTCTTTAAAAAGCCCAGAGTCTTGGAGATTTTCCTGTTTAAAAAAAACTGACACAGACACGTGTAAAAAAAGTAATTAATAAAAACTGAAGATTGCTTCTGTATCTATGCATTTCAATTTATTTGACAATCAATTTTCGTGTCTACTTTGCTGTAGTGCAAATGAAACCAACAGTGTGTACTTGACTATCTTTTGCTTTGGAGTTCTAAGAGCTTCTTGCCACACACACGAGCCGCATGCCACGGCAGCAGTCGACCTGTAGCGACACTAACAGTTTTTTTATGGCATAAGCCGGTAAACGAGCAGAAGTATCAGCTGATTGTAAGCAATTACCGTCGCCCATGGACACCTGGAACACCAGAAGCGTTACAACCGCGTTACCGGCTTATTGGGGATTATGAGATTATGAGATTTGGGCGAGTTGTAGCGTTCTTCAAAGTTCAATCTTCATGTTATCATCTACAATACGGTAGTTATCAGGGTATGAAAATTAAAAATCTAATCAGTCCGTCAGTTAGATAATGAAAAAATATTAGACACGTATTTTTGTATTTTGACGTATAAAGTTTCAATACTTAGATAAAATGGCGCTAAGTTTAGGAGTGAGAGGAAGTTACCTACGTCACAACGTGCTACAAAATGTAACTTGTTGTGACGTCATACGATATTTCAAATTAATATATCGTCGAAAGTATTTAATTTTGTGAGAAAAGAAAAAATACGAGTGTAATGTTTTAGATTACTATGTAGCTATCCTGTTTATATAAGTAGGAAGATAAAATTTACAATATTTTTAAACTGTAACCCTTTTTTTACTGACTTAAAAAATAGGAGGAGGTACTAAGTTCAGCTGATTGTTTTCTTTTTATTATTCAGTTTGAAGTGTTAAGTTGGCCTTATGTAACAGTCGACTGTTACAAGGTATTGATGATGACTATAGTAATCATTTAATTACAAAGACGGGCAAGTAAAGGAACTTTTATATTTAAAATGGTAATAAATTAAACCTTTATTTATAGGTAGGTGGATATATAAAACTCTACAGTTGTATGTTATTGTTAATTTTACAACATACATATTTTTTTAACCTTTAAAAATGGTCTATTAATTAACAGATACTTAATTTTATGATTAAAATGTGAAAGTCGGTGTGTAGAGCGACAATGTTGCTTAACGTTGATCGTGAGGTCGCAACAACGATTTGATCAAAAAGTAATAAGTATAATAAGTAAGAATGAAAATTAAAGTATAATTTCATTATAGGTAAAATCAAATTTCTTCAGGAACTGCAGTTTTTTTCCAATCTATTTACTTATTTGTTAAAGGTACACTTACATCACATCCTGACAGAGGTGGGAGAGGCAATCCTCATCCTCTCCCACCTTTATCAGGATGTTCTTCTGTGCAGTGGATATGTTAAGAAATACATATACATTTCACTTACTTAAGAAGGGTGAAATATACTCCCAGACCCGATACAACAATTTGTAAATTCAACCAAAGTTGCGAGAAGCGATCCTATGACACGTTGTGTGGCAATCAGCCCAGCCTTTGCACCAAAATGCAGTTCAAAATGCAGTCCAAAATGTAGTATAAATAAAAATGTTGTTATGGATCACTCGGCAACGCAAGACTGACCTTTGGATTTGCCATAACCTCAACGCATGACTGGTGGTTTGGAGATCGCTATTTAAAAGGTTCATTGCTATGAGCCAAATGCCATTAAAGCGCTTGTCTCTACTGACACAGTCGAAAACTTAAGGCTGATTTTTCAATCAACAGAGAATTCTTAACTTTTTTTTATAGCATAAGCCGGTAAACGAGCAGACGGATCACCTGATGGTAAGCAATCGGCGTCGCCCATGGACACCTGGAACACCAGAGGCGTTACAAGTGCGTCACCGGCTTTTTGGGGATTATGAGTTTGAGGATCGTTGGGGATTCAGGGATTGGGGAGATTGGGGAAGGGGAAGGTAATTGGGCCTCCGATAACCTCACTCACACGACGAAACACAACGCAAGCGTTGCTTCACGTCGGTTTTCTCTGAGGCCGTGGTATCACTCTGGTCGAGCCGGCATCACATTTGTGCCGAAGCATGGCTCTCCCACACTTGAATTTAACTTTTCTTTTTGTTCTTTTTTAAAAAACGTTGCCCCACAATAGGATTTTCTCCTGTGTCATGGGTGGATTTACAAACATACAAGTTCACATACACATGACACCCAGACCCGGAACAACAATTCGTGGATCACACAAAGAGTTGCTCCGTGCGGGGATCGAACCCGCGACACGTTGCGTGGCAGGCGGATGCCTAGCCACCGCACTAACCATATTGTCGGTTAACTATATAGAATAAAATTGTAAGTTTTTAGTAGTTATGGAGGAATTGTCAAATATTTAAAGTAAGTTATTCCTCTGATTTATCTGGCGTTCGAAAAATGGGTCCTTAAGATGAGGGAATTACACATATAAATGTCAAAATTTAAGCTAATGATTCATTCATGATAACCAACATTTTTAAAAGTAAATGCATCTAATATCAGTTACCAAGCTATTTCAACCACGATCACAATTAGTAAAAAAACTAATTTAAACTTAGGGTCGTCCACCGCTGTGTACGGTCGAGGGGAAAATGCGAAAACTCGCCCTCACCCGGCGGCCATTTTGTGACGTCATCACTAACCACATGGGACGCATTTGGACGTAATATTTTTTACGAAAAAAAGTAATTAGTTTGACTGATGAGTGATGATTCTTCGGTACGAAAATATTAAGTAACAGTAAATAAAACTCAACATTCTTCAAATAATAAATAGATAATGGACAAAGTTTATACCTACGTAGAAACGAAGGAGTTTTTATAATAACTTAAAGCACTTATTAATGTTATTACTGTTCCATTTTTTAAATTTCCAACGTTCATAATAATTCGTACAATACCAATACCGGTACTAAACATAATTTTTCACGAAACTTAAAAACTAATGCACTTAAGAAATGCCAGTTATCCTTTCTCCTGAACGTCGACATTGCAACTGACATTGCAAACAAAACCTATACAATTTAAAACAAAACTATACAAAAAAAGGTGCAAAAGAAAAACTCGAGCGCAATTGTTAAGAAAAATAAAAATGAACGTTCAGTACGTCCCCGTGTGCGCTTTGATGATGCCGGAGAGTTCCGATTGGTTGGCGAGAAGTGCAAGGCGTGGTTAGTTTTAGTCCCACCCACCTCCGTTAAGGGTCTTAGATTGTGAGGCTCCAAACGTCATCGGGCGCTTGCCGGCTGCGCCACGCGTACTCACACAACTTAGCAAAAATTTGAACACGTGCTTTCTGTAAGAAAAAAATTAAAAAACCGGTGAATACCCCGTGCAGTGACAATGTGGTATATTCTTATGTGACTCAAGAAAAATATCAGACCCAAACTGTGTTATGGGTTAAAAATATGATTGTATAAACCAAGAATGTTATGAAAAGTGTGGAAACGAATGTTTTGTGTTTAGTGTTGTGGCATCGATCGGCTGAAAAGTGACCTCTGGCGGTTGAAATTGGCCGTAGTACAAAACAGTAACAATACAGCTACTTTGTGGAGTGAAATGTTCAGTTGATCGACGTAATATTTTTTAGTTTGAGCCAAAATATCTTCCAATAAGATTTTATTCTGTTAAAGCTCAATCGAATTCTTCCAAAAATTCTTAATCAGCTTCTAGATTCGGTATAATTTTTAGGATTCTTTTCCATTTTCTTAAAAATCTTAACAGCCATTTTAGGCTTTATTCGTGCAATATTAAAACAAAGATAGCCTAGTGTACAGCGAGTGTAGATAAAAAGCTCAGCCTAAATCGAATTTAAGATCTAAATTGAAGTGTAAATAATAGGCTCATTAGTAATGATAAATTAGATCCATTTAACATAGTAAGAGATAATAATAACGGTTATATAGAAACTGTAGATAAATTAAAATTCGTAAATAAAGAAGATCGAAGGGATATTGAAGATCTCAAGTATTGTATAATAGTTACAGACAAAGGAACAATTATAATTCACGTTCGACCTTTACAAGCGGATGAATTAATTGCTATCAAACTGTTAATTTTGCAAGGAACATCTAATTCGAGGTCTTTGTTCACGAGTTTCCAATACAATCAAGATTTTAAGTGCTGACCAATTAAATTTGGAGTAAATATACCGAAGAAGAAAATAATAAAATTCAAATTGCTAAATTGCAGCATTTAGCAGCATTATTAGAAACTGCACACGTTAATCATTGGAGTTTGAAACGTTTTGTTTTGTGATTTGAAGATTCTTTTGCTAATTGATCCTTATCTTTGGAGTGTTCATTAATTGTGGAATCCAGAGCAAAATCAGTAGTGTCGTCACGGACAGAATCACATACAAATGCTGTTACGCTAACTTTGCCTTCGCCACTATTGACAATACTATCTCCCACGTCAGTGTCGTGAACTGCGGCCCACAGTTCATCAAAATCTTCGTTCACATCGTTGATAGAGTGCGTTGAACCAGAAATACCAGATGCATCATTGACCATATGTCGTTACCCTACCGATCACATTAACTTGGGGGTGCACATATCTGGCGTGGAGTTGCAAGCCGTCAAGATAGCCACTGAGTCGAAACTGCAGCTGTGCGGGGGCTGGAGTGGGCAGGCTAGCTACGCGCTGGATGGATGCGTGGACGCTGGCCTGCTCAGACCACCGCCGCAGCCGCACTCCAGTCAACTTGGTACTGTTTATGCCACAAAAAGAAGAAGAAGGAATGGAAAAAGGTTAGTGTTTAGACAATAGTTCTAGCCTTTATTTAGATTTTAGCAATCGCCGTTTTTCTGCGGAATTTTAGCGACAGTTGCTCAAAAGATCATTTGGGTCATATCTCTTTAGGTAACAGATAACCATAGTAGGGAATTACAAAAAATATAAGGATGTATTAAACAAATAAACAGTGGTATTAGAAATGTTTAAGAAATAATAATAGATTTATTTTCTACATTATCTTTTTAGAGAACTACAGATGTGGTATTAAATGTACCCTTGATACTAGATTGTAGTGCGTCCTAGATAAAAGTCAGGTTTTTAACTTTTTATCACAGATATGTTATCCGATTCACTCCAGAAAGTACTTTTAAACGATACTCATCAACCTTAAAGATATTTTTCCCAAAATAGAAGTGTCAATCAATCAATAAAAGAATATAATTAGTCAAAACTTAACACTTTTTATGAATAAAGTGCCGGATATACGATATGTAACAAAAAAGTTCAACAATCGTAACAAATCGATTTAAAACAATTAATAATTTTGGAAACATCAAAATTCTCAACGCGTTTCGCCTCTGCCCTCAGCATTTTTTTACAATACTGTACTTTGTTCCTTATGAAATAGGGATAGAAATTGCATGCTACAAAGGTTGTTTAAAATTTGACAGCTACGCTCATCTGAACACAGAAATGGAATTACTAGATATGCCTACAATGTAACTTTGTCAACGTTTTCAACATAATTATGAAAATTCTATCCGTTAATGTCTTTTTCATGTTAGTCGCTAGTAATTATTTTTAATAAGTACCTACGAACCGTCCAGTAATTAAATATCATTAATTATTAACATCGAAGTGGCTTGCATGCATTATTACGAACTATTGTTTTTTCATGAATTCTCTGATAATAGTTCGTAATTTAAATTTCAATCACTGTGCCTTTTGATTATATTTTTTTTTTGTTTAAATACCTATATTTTTATTTTTTTTATACCAATTGAATATTTTATTGTTCATGTTAAGCTGTTATTTTTAGCAATTTAGTGCATACAGTTTTATTATACATTTTAATAATTATGACATGAAAAGAAATCGAGAAGCAAGGTTAAACGTAGTTCATTAATATTCAATTTACGCATTCATCTTGTAGTTAGATATAAATACTCTTTTGTTCTACCTTAGTTAATAATTATTTTATTATATCTAATGGATACCAATAACTAGGCAATATGCTGCAAATAAATTGGTTTAAGTAAGAGTCTAGAATAATATTGTAACGACTTAAACTAAAGAAACAAAATATAATTTAGTTAAAAGTACAACGCAATACTTTCTATCATTAATATTATTTTTTAACATAATGAAACTTTAACTCATATATGGTTTCTAACAAATGATGCAACCAACACTAACTACCATTGAACTTATTGCAACAACCGTTATTAATTAAAAACCGCTATTTTAGCTCAATAACCTATTAAAAAAACGTTGCACATATTTTTTTCAAAACTCCAATAAAATTTAATGCTTCAATCACATCTAGTTTTCTATATCCATAAAAACCAATAGCGTTACGAATGGTCCGTTCAAAAATCAGTGCTGGCCTATTAGGTTAATTCGATTATTAATTTATGAGGTGAATAATAACCGTGTATCGATACAGTTGAATCGATTCCACTCGGTATGACCGTGGCGATTGAATCTTATAACGGATTTCGAATGTACCTATTGTGTTAAATTTCGAATCTGTGATTTTTCTTTGCTATTTTTGGGACACGTAATGAAAAATATATTATTGCGAAATGTAATTTTCAAGTGAGGATTATTACCCTTTAGTCCTGTATTTACAAATGAAGCTGTTGAAATGAGATTACACTACACTAAAATAAATTTTTCAGATTTTTTGATATATTTTTTGATTAATCTGTTATCCTTCTTGATTTATAAAAATATTAACTGTTGTGAAGTTCACTATATATATCAGTGAAGCTGCTTCGTTTCCCGTCGCTGCCGTATCTATGCTACATAATTATGTAGATGCAAACAGCTTAGAATTTCGGAATCTGTTATAATTAATGAGGAGTTTCGTATTTTGTTATTGCAATTCGGATTTAGACTCTTTGAAAATAAATTATATTTTACAATAACAACTGCGTTGAATGTCGTGGTGGCCCGGAGGTTTAAGACTCCCGCTTCTCATGCATGAGGGTGCGGGTTCGAGACCTACCAACGGCAAGTATCAATGTGACTTTTTCCGAGTTATATGTACTTTCTAAGATTATTTAGACACCACTGACAAACGGTGAAGGAAAACATCGTGAGGAAACCTGGGTTTATAATTTCTAATTATAAGTTTGTAATCGCCAACCCGCATTAAGCAAGCGTGGCGATTAATGCTTCAACCTTCTCCGTGTGAGAAGAGACTTTGCTCAGCAGTAGGCATTTGTAGGCTGTTGATGATGAACTGCGTATGATAGTGCGTCAATAGTTATTACTATATTGACCAGGACCGACGGACAATATTATTCAGTATCATCCTATGACAGTCCACTGGTAGCCTATGGATTCAATAATGATGAGAAATGTATTATTCTGCTCTGTTCGCCATCTAGCACGCTTTCCAAATTGCAATACCATAACAATTTAAGCGCCAAAATTTGAGTACTGGTCGGAGAATTCGTTCTAAGACCTTTTCTTATTGCTATGCTATGTTCGATATATAAACTTATCCAGTTTTAACTATGGCAATGGCAACAGCCACACACAAAATGGGGCTTAAAATAATGAACGAAGAAAGCGATGTTTCACACAAACTTGGGTGGAAATTATGGGGTTGAATATTGACGTCATCAACCTCCCCCCTTCCCTTATACTTTGAGGGGGGTTTTAAATACACGGCACACCTACCGCCTAAGGTTACTATGTGATAATGACCTTATGTTTTGGTTATAATTCTAACAAATTGCTGTAGAAAGACTAAGCTAGTAGGTACTTCTTTTGATGTGATCATAGGTTTGAAAAATGATAATCGTTCTGGGTGTTTGGCAATTAACACTGATTAAAATAGGATGAGATATAGATAGTATATAAGGAACGTATTCCAAAGATTTTCATAAAGATTGTCCTTATAAACTACTTGCTTTGATTAGTGAGTGTATCTTCTTCTCTATAAAAGGTCGGCAATTCATCTGTAACTCTTCTGGTGTTGCTCGTACCCATGGACGGTGCTGACCTCTTACCAGTAGGTAGTTGATCAGCCTGCTTTTGCTTCTTACTTCTTAAACAATACCACGGCTCGAATAGGCCTCACTTATGCTTACGTTACCTCCTAAAGAATTAGTTTTCCAACAGTCCATGTTTGCAAATTGGTTTATTATAACCTCTTCATAAAATCAGTTGCCTTAGTTTGTTAATATGCTACTAGGGGTGACGTTTGTAAGTAAGATACTCAACTCACTTTTGATTCATCAACAGTCTATATGACCACTGCTGAGCAAAGCCTCTTCTCACACGGAGAAGGTTTGAGCATTAATCAACACGCTTGCTCAATGCAGGTTGGCGATTACAAACGTATAATTAGAAATTATAAGTCCAGATTATCCTCACGATGTTTTTCTTCACCGTTCGTCAGTGGTGTCTAGATAATTATAATCTTAGAAAGTACATATAACTCGGAAAAAGTCACATTGGTACTTGTTACTGGTAGATTTCGATCCCGTACCCTCATGCATGAGAAGCGGTTTTAAACCTCCGAGCCACCTCGACTATTTTGATTAGCGTAAACAAATCATATTGTTATCATTCACACCTAAAGAAATCGTGTTTAAACGAAAACATCTTAAACATTTTCTTGTTTAAACGAGCAGAATACGTTACACCTTCTACACACTATTGTAACACCATTCGTGACGTACATTTGACGTAATAATTACGCAATTATCTTCACTCCAAACTATATATTTATTAGACAACTATTGTGTTTAAAAACCATGGATCCATGGCGTATAATTTTGTAAAAGTACTATCGACACTTGTCTTCGGTGACTACGTAAGTATGAGTATGTGCGTAAAAACATGCTTTATGTTACAATTTATTTATTGTGTTTATGTTTTATTAAACAAGTAAATTGGTAAAATTAATAATTAATGAATGATTATCAGCCAGTTATTGAAATGCAATGGCTATCTAATAGGGTAACAGTATATGAAAATATTTTAAAAGTCAATGATTGTACACACGGTGGTCTAAAGCAGTCAAGAAAACAAAGGAATCACTAGCCTACCTATGATTTTGTACATATTTAGATGTCCATTAGAGTAGATTATATTATCTATTCTATTGAAAGATTATATTATCTATATATTATCTACTCAATTTTAGTTAATTTTTTTTTGAGATCAGTTATTATTTGCAGCTTTTGATGAACAGTTACATTTATGCGTATATTTCAAATAGGTTTTGTACTTGAAGTATTATTATCATAACATAACATAACATCATGCCTTATATCCACGAAAGGATACGCAGAGGTGCACGTTACGGCGATTAATGCCACGTTACAATGTAACACCCACTTTTCACTATTTATGTTATGAGTCCCATGTAATAGGGGGTGAGCCTATTGCCATATACCGGGCACAGTTTCAGACTCCGTGCTACCTCTGAAAAAAACCCAATAAAACTTTGCCCGACTCGGGAATCGAACCCCAGACCCCTTGCCCGGCAGTCGCACATTAGTCAGTAATATCGTATCTAATTAAAAAGAAAAAAATCCCGTACACGAAGCACCACGTCGATTGTACTTTCATAACATTTTCATATACCTCTAAAATAGAGTACTACAACATTGTAAACCGATTTTGACATTAAAGTAGACTTTTTAATTATAAAGCACTTAATTATTACTTTCGTTAAAGAGAACATGATGTCCCGTATTTAATAGCTAAGTGAAGAAAAGAGTGACTGACTATACGTAGTAATTATGTTTTAATGAAATTATAAAAATAGGTC